GGAGAGCCCGGCAAGCTACCGAGAGTATCTCGCCCACAAGGCAGAGCCTGGCAAGCTACCCGTGATGTATTCGATATGCCAAACACAGTAACAACAAAGTCTCCAATGGAGACGTTACTGGGCCCTCTAGAGCAAATCGATGAACAGCGGGAAGACAGTGACAGTGACAGTGACAGAAACAAAAATTAGGAGCCAGATATTACAGTGGATAAGGCACTTATTTTGCACACAGCTAGCCTGGGTTTAATCATCAGAAACACTGGGCCTCTGAGCACTTTCAGGAGTGATCCTTGGGCAAAGATCCAGGAATAAGCTCTGAGCATTGCTCTTGTGGCTCACAAATCAAAAAATAAAATAAAATACAAAGAAACACAAATTTACAAACCAGTCACAGCTATGTAAGTATACTTCTAAAAATAAGGAAAAAAATAAATAAAGTAAGTGATTATATTTGGAGCACAAATATGAAGGATACTCATCCCATCATCTTTTTATTTTATGAATTTTCCAAATTTTATATAATGTGTATAAATTTTTCATGTAGAAAAATATAATAACATTTATCTTTTGAAAAGTCAGCAGAGCAAAGAACACAAAAATATTATTGCACCGGCTTCTTTGACCTTCCATTTCTCAGATATTGTTCTTATTTTTTCTTTCTCATAAAGCTCCCAGAGTAAATCAAATAAAGGATTAGTAATGGCCTGGCCCTCTGGAGACAATTACTTATATATACCTCACCATTTCTAACAGTATTATTTCTTTTCTTTTAAATTGTGTATAATAACAATTAGAATCACAGCTATATATTTATGTTTAGTATTGTTTATATAACTAGGTCAGTATCAGGTTTTATATATATTTTACTCCTGTTGCCTAATGCCACCAGAATTCATCTGGAAAAAGAAACAAGGGGAAAAAGAAACAAGGGGAGAAAGAAACAGGACATAAGGAAACAGCAAAAGTTGTTTTCGCATTGAAGTAATATTGTAAACTGATGTCTGGCTATTGCTTTCAATAGATGCCACAAATTGCCTCTGCAGGGAAAGCACAGGACAGCAACATCTACCTAGTTATCTCAGAAAATGAACTTTTATGCACTCCAACATACACATCACACTACTTACAGGTTAAATGATGGTTGCTAGCACAAAAGTGCTATCAGACTGATAATATTGTCATTATAGCTGTAAATTTTGTGAAATATATTCATATGTATTGGACATGATTCTACAATCTTCCAAGTCCAGGTATTTCAGAGCCTGGTATCTGAAACTTTTAGTTGCAACACCATATAGAGTCATGAAACTTTTTTAAAAATGTGTTTCAAAATAAATATAATTTTGATATATTATCAGTAAATGTTTTATTTATATACCTACTTTATTTTATTTATTTGGAGGATGCTGGCAATGCTAAGTGGCTTCTCCTGGTTCTGTGCTCAGAGGTTGTTCCCAGCAGTGCTTGGGGAACCATGTGATGCTAAGAATCAAATGAGGGTAAGCTGCAGGCAAGGCAAGTTTCTTAACTTCTGTATTATTTCTCCAGCACTGAATTCTTATTTTTCAGGGATCATGTAAAAACTCTTCAGGCAAAAAGGGGTCATTAGTGGAAAAAGTTCAAGAGATCCTACTCAATAGGAAGGTGCTCCCATGGTGAGCATGATGACTCAATATAAAGCACTTGAAGATATTAAAAGCATGAAGTCTGAATCAGATATTACCTGGTTTGAAATTGTGCCACTTAGTGAACTGCTTACCACCAGAGAGCTTGCCGGGGTCTCTGAGAGGGACAGAGGAATCGAACCTGGGTTGGCCTCGTGCAAGCAAATGCCCTACCCGCTGTGCTATCGCTCCAGCCCCAGATTACAGGTATACAATTTTTTGTCAATCAAAATGGAGAGAGAGAAGAGACTGGCCCATATTCAAAAGAACAAAAGCAATCGATGCTGGCGTGGATGTGGCGAGAAAGGGACACTCCTTCACTGTTGGTGGGAATGTCGACTGGTTCAGCCCTTCTGGAAAACAGTATGGACGATTCTCAAAAAATTAGAAATTGAGCTCCCATTTGACCCAGCAATACCACTCCTGGGAATATATCCCAGAGAGGCAAAAATGTATAGTCGAAGTGACATCTGCACTTGTTTGTTCATTGCAGCACTCTTTACAATAGCCAGAAACTGGAAGAAACCTGAATGCCCAAGAACAGATGACTGGTTAAAGAAACTTTGGTACATCTACACAATGGGGTACTATGTAGCTATTAGAAAAGATGAAGTCATGAAATTTACATACAAGTGGTACAACATGGAAAGTATCATGCCAAGCGAAATGAGTCAGAAAGAGAGGGATAGACATAGAAAGATTGCATTCATCTGGGGGATATAAAGTAACAAAATATGAGATTAATACCCAAGAATAGCTGAGATCAGCACCAGGAGGATTACTCCATAGCTTAGTGGCCAGTCGGGCATTCTAGAGGAAAGGGCAGCTCAGATAGAGAAGGGAACACCAAATAAAGGGTTTTTGGAGGATCCTCCCAGGAGGGGAGATTCATGTCGAAAGTAGACTATGGACTGAACATGTTTGCCACTCAATGCCTCTTTTGCAGACCACAACACCCAAAAGGAGAGAGAGAACACAGGGGATTGCCCTGCCACAGAGGCAGGGGGGGATGGGGGGATGGGGGTTGGGGAGGATGTTATCCATGGTGGTGGAAAATGGGCACTGGTGGAGGGATGGGTATCTGATCATTGTATAATCAAAACCCAAGCACAAAAAATTGTAAATCTACAACTGTACCTCATGGTGTTTCACTAATAAAAAAAATTAACATAAATCATTACATTTTAACTTGTCACTGACATCGTAACTGAAAAGCTTATCAATTGTTTAATTAATAAAATTCTTTCTAAATTGTTTTCAAAAAATGGAGATGACTATTACTGAAGATAGCCTAATGTCCACATTATTGTTAGTGAATTTTTGTGATATTCTAAATATGTTGAAATTGTATGAGATTATTCACTTTTCTGGTTTGCTTCCAGATACTGTGCAATTAACTACTCTCTGTCTTCCTACAAACCACAAACAAAGTTCACCTATCTATACTCTATTCATCATACCCCCCAACACACACATAAGTCCATTAAGGCAGTAACATAACAGAATACATAATTATTACTAATCTAGAACAGCTTTCAGCATATTTATTATGTATTAAGGATAATTTAAAATAGGTTGCTTATAATTAACAACACTTGGCAGTCTCCTCCCAGGCTCAAGTTGACCTATGAATAGCTTGTGGTCTCAAGCTAGGCTTGACAGGCCTTAGTCTCTAACCAAATTCAGTTGTTCAAACAAAGATTGGGCTTGGGCACAGCAGGTACAGTTAAATCTGCTGCCAGTTTTTCTTAGTCTCTGAGGAAAATCTGCATTCTCTCCTCAATTTGCAATCAGTCAGCTCTGGTTGGGAGGGTCTGCCAATTTGTTTGGAGTAAGGCAGATGTCTGAGTCAGGCTTTTATCTGTATAAGGGAGACGCCAGTCAGCCCAGTGCTGCTCCACCCTCAACTTGGACTGGCGCCTCCTTATCTCTCAGGTCTGCTCCATTGCTCCTTGTTCTATAATGGAGAATGTTCTTGAGATGGTTTCTGAGTTGTTCAGTGAACTTCCTCACTGGATTCTGTAATATATATATATATATATATATATATATATATATATATATTTGTTGTGGTTTTGTTGGGGACCCCAGGTACACTATTAAATTTGTTCCTTTCCCAGTATCTTGGTTATTTCAGTGGTATTTTTCATCAACTGGCCATTCAGTCATCCATGCAATAATTATGGAATGCTTGCACTGTGTCAGATACTATTTAATTAAAGGGGGTACTATGGTGAACAAAAAAGTTAAGATCTGTATTCTCACTAGTTGGCATTATTCTGGAAGAATCAACGATTTTTCACAGTAGAAAAAGTTCTGCAGATCTTATGGTGGAATGGGAGAAAATTTCAGTGTGCTGGAGATGTAGAAGTTAGTTCACACTTGTATGGACGTTTAAGATTGTGCCTTTTTGAGGAGACAGTAGAAATGTAGGAGGAAGTAAGGATGAGATAGAAAATGTAAGCATAGGCTAGGTCACTTAAGTCTTTGCAGGCTTTGGTGAAGATATAAATTTTATTCTAGTTTTGATAGGTAGCTCCCAGATGATTTTAAGCAAGGGAAGTGCATAACTTGATCCACACTTTAAAAAGAGTGCCACTACACTTGAGAAATAGGGAGATGAGAACTTATGGCTTTAAGTATGGTGAATACCTGGTAAGGATGAATGGAAACAGACTAGTGTGGAGGAAGTGTTTTTAGCATTCCTATTAAGAAATGATGCTAAATCGGTGGTAACGAATTCTAATGATATGGTCAAAGTTTCTGATGTATTAGGATAAACCTGCATGTATTCTTCAATTTGCAATCGTCAGCTATGATTGTTCAGCTCTTTCGAATAATCAAAGGAACATAATAGAAATGGAGAGAGTTGATTTCTAGAGTATTGGGCTTGGAAACTGGTTGAATGGCAAAGCCTTTTCGGGGTTGGGGAGGGATGGGACATCCTCCCCAGAGGTGTTTGATAAGTCATGTGATGTCAGGGATCCAACCCAGGGCTGTGTGCATGGGCTCCAAACCTTTGAGCCATCCTCCTGGTCCTGATGCCTTTCATTCAGTTGAGAGACACTGGAAGAACAGCAGATCTGTGTAGTAGAAGCCACAGCAGCACCGAGTATGTAATGCATGCTAATTGTGAGTGAGGAATTTAGGTTAAGGAAAACTTAAATCTCATATTCTCAAAATCTTTGATCTCATACGTTCTAATATTGGATTCCAGAAACAATTTTCTGTGGCTTATCCAACTGTGCTTAACTAAGTACGTGTATTGCTAGAATGACTTCCTAAGAATGAATATTCTTTCCTGAATTTACCAGTTTTTCTCCTTTTTCTGAATAGAGCTGCAAAGAGATTTGCTACTCTCTTTGTGAACCTGTGTGTCACTGCAGAGACCCATGAGATCTCTGCTCTCTGGTTCCTGTGGTATGTGAAGCTGTGTGGGGGTACAACCAGGATCATCTCCACAACCAATGGAGGACAGGTGCCTATCCATTTCCATCACCTCTTAAGTGACATATTGATATCACCCTACCCTTCTTCCCACTCTCTTCCTTTCTCCTTCTTTCTCCTACACTTTGCCCTTATTCTCAGGTCTATTTGAAATAGTTATAAAGACATAACCAAAATGAGATTTCATAAGGTAGTTAGTTCTTGCCTGTGCACAACCATCCAGAAAATTTGGAAGCTTTACTAGGTCTTAGGGTAGGGGGTAATGCATTGAAGTGAAATGTGGTCTCCATAGACACAATGCACCTTATTTGAGATGAAGCAGGTAGTCTGCAGTAGGGAGTAAGCTGGTATGGGTTGGGCTATAGAAGTTCTGAGCCTGATTAATAAATAAGGAAAGGGCAATAATTTAGGCATATGCAAGCAAGTGTGTAGTCAATTGAAAGGAGACCGTCACCACACTCAGAACCCCAACCAAAATATATAGATATAACAGAGAGCAGGGAAGATGGCAAGGCAGGAAGGACATGGAAATCAGGCTAAGGACTTCCAGCTAATGTTGGGGCCTGGCAGTCTTCTAAAGCATAACATGGAAGGTGACTGTTAAAAAGAAACTGTCATATTATCAAAAGTCAGAACCACAGTTAGAACTTTCACAATGGTGAAAGACACAACATTATGAGATTTTACACTTCTCACATAAAGACATAGAGAAAACTAGCTCCTTAGAAATTTATACCTGTTATATTATCTCCTAATCACCTCTTAAGTATTTTATCTCTCCAGGAGAGGAAATTTATAGGTGGATCTGGTCAAGTGAGTGAACGGATAATGGAGATCCTTGGAGATCGCGTGAAACTGGAGAGGCCTGTGATCCGCATTGACCAAACCGGAGAAAGTGTCCTTGTGGAAACTCTAAACCATGAGATTTATGAGGTAACCATAAGCCTTACTCTAGAAGAAAGATATCAGAGTCCCATAGGTAACCAAAGGTTAAATTAAGCCAAGAATATTCCATATTTGATAGGCTATCTCTTGCCAAATAAAATAAAATGAAAGCACTACGTCTATCTGAAAGAACAAAAGGGAATTTTTGGAAAGGATGGAGATTTTCTTTTTTTAATTTAGTAGTTCTGCTATTTATTCAGCAATTGATTAAACTGATTGAATTGGGCATGAACTCCACATTACTTTTTTTTCTTATTGAATCACCGTGAGATACAGTTATAAAGCTTTCATGTTCGACATTCAGCCATACAGTGATTGGTAGAGCCATACACCCATCCCTCTACCAGTGCACAATTTCCACCATTAGTGTCCCCAGTATATCACCCCCCCATCCCAATCCTCACCCTGACTCCATGGTACACAATTTCTCCAATAGTCTATCTCTACTTTTGTGCATTATATTTTACTCAAAATTTCCCACCACCATTTAAGCCTGCCTGCCAGGGGCAGGTGCTAGATCATTTATTGTCCATTGCTCATTTTTAATATCATGAGATCCATGGCCGTGCGCTTCTGGAATCCTAAATTGTAAATGGTTGGGTTTCAGAGACATTTTTGTAGGGCACTAATCCATTTGGGGATTCAATTGGGCATCTCTGGACTAGGACTCTTGGTGCACTAAGATGGTGCCCAGAGGCACATTGTGGGTGTGACAGCCAAGCCGACAAGCAGACAAGGAGCAGGGGAGGGATAGCCCAATTTAGTCCTGGAACTCACATACCTGAGCCTCACTTGTTGGAAGCTCTTGGTTGCCAGGATTCCATCTGGAGTAGGCGGGGAGACTGCACCTGCTCCATCTGGGGTGTCCCGGTGAAATTGGCTTGGTATGGGGCCCAGAGAGATCTCCGGCTCTGTGGTGTCTTGAGGGACTCACTGCTGTGTTTCTGGCTTTTGACCTTTTTTGAGGTTTATTTATGGGACTTTGAAGCAAAGCCAGTGATAGAGTTTACAGGATGGTGCTGGCGTTGGTTTGTGGGGGTGACTGCCAGTGCTTCCACGTGTATTTGGAAGTGGGGGGAGATAACCCACCCCAACTCTATGAAAGACTGGAGATTGCAGTCACAAAACTTGCATACCCAAATTTTCAGCAGATTATATCTTGGTGAGGTCCGTCCTGAAATGCTGGAAACAGGCTGGGAGTATGTTGGTGATTTTGGATTGTGGAATCAAGCTGGGGTCTCTGCTTGAGCAGGCACAGCCCAACCTGCCCCCTTCCTCTTTACCCCAGTCTGTTCAGCCATGCGCAGGTCCAATATTTACTGTGGCTTTTGACCTCTTTTGAGATTTATCTACGGGTAAATCTCGAAAGATCTTTATCTATGGGTCTCTAAAATAAGGTCAATAAATGAGCTTGTATAGCTGAGCTGGAGGTGGTTTGTGGGCATGGCTCCCACTACCTAATTTTTGGCCATTTAATTTCTTGGTAAACTTGCTCCCAAGTTGTTGGGATCCAATGAAAGGCACAGCGGCAATTTTGGGGTGTCAGGAAATCTGAAGACACCATCAGACTGCAGATGCACTCACCCCACAGGTACAGATTGACCTCTTGGCAGCACCATACCCCCAAATGAAAATTTTCAAAAATATCAATCCAGCACAAAATTTCAAACCTATAAAATTACAAAATGAAAAAATACTTAATAAAGTGGCTTTTATGTGCCTAAAATTATTCTGTGAATTGGGAACATAGTAGTGAACAAAAGTATCTTACATTAAGTATCATATAGTGAAGTATTTTCCCTTAATGTTGTAGAGTTGCCATAATCAAATAATGTTGTAGAGTTGCCATAATCAAATATACAGTTAAAAAATAAAGCATACCACATAGTGCTAACTACTGTGGAAAACAGTCAAGCAGGAGAGGAGAAGAATGTGTACTAGAAGGCAGAGTTGAATCATTGTCATACAATTTTAAATGAGGTCTCACTTCAAAGTGGTCTTTAAATGAGGTCTCACTTCAAAGTGGTCTTTAAATGAGGTCTCACTTCAATGGCCTCATATCAAAGGTGCTATTTGAGCACAGGTCCAAAAGACATGAGGGAATGAATGAGTCAGGAAAATCTCTGGGGCTGGAGTGTATTGGGTAAAGAGATCTGCCAGTGAAAATATCCTGAGATAAAAACAAAACTGGTATATAGAAAAGAAGCAAGATTATTGAAATGGTTCATGGAAGAAGAGTGATGGAAAGAATAACAGGAGGTAGATCAGAGATGGGATCTATTCATGTGTGGGTGACTATTTTTGAGGTTTCTGTAAGGAACATGATTTTGACACCAAATTATGGGAATTCTTTGGAGATTTTAAACTAGAGAACAATAAAGGTTCATTGTGATTTTAGTAAAATCCTTTCTTTAAGTGGAATCACCGTGAGAAACAATTACAAAGCTTTTATGCTTGAGTTTTAGTCATAAAATGATCAAACACCCATCCTTCCACCAGTGCACATTTTCTACTACCAATGTCCCCAACACCCCTTCCCAACCCTTCCCCTGCCTCTATGGCAAACAACTTCCCCCATACATTTTCTCTACTTTTGGGCATTATAGTTTGCAATATAGATACCTGAAAGTAGTGAGAGACTATCACGTTTGGTACTTTATATACTTTCAGCACACATCTCCCATCACGAACGATTTTGACATCCAAGTACAGTAGACACAGGGCCAGGAATATTGCTCCATAGTTGGAAGCCTGCCTCATGAACTGGGGGAGAAGGCAGCTGTAATAGAGAAGGGATCGCTAAGGCAAAATCCTTCTTGAGTTTAGTTAGAAAGAGATTAAAGGGGTAAGGAGCAAGGGTTAAAGCAAGGGAAAAATATTGGGGGCAAAAACCTACTAACAATGCTTAACCATGTTGCTTTTCTTTCAGGCTAAATATGTTATTAGTGCTATTCCTCCTACTCTGGGCATGAAGATTCATTTCAACCCACCTCTGCCGATGATGAGAAACCAGCTGATTTCCCGTGTTCCTCTGGGTACAGTCATCAAATGCATGGTTTATTACAAAGAGCCCTTCTGGAGGAAAAAGGGTGAGCACTTCACTTAGATAAATACCTCTAAGAAGTGTTTCAGGAAACTCAGTACAAAATTATTAATTTACATGTAATAGAGTTTTTAAATTAGAATTACATTAGTGATTAAATATCAACCCAGATTATAAGAGCAATTACATGAAGTAAAACAAAATGACAGAAACTCACAAAATTAACTTCCTTTGAAAACTTACTCCTTATAATTAAAAATGTTTAATATTCCCATAAAACCTTATGAAAGTAGATTAGCATTTCCTAATGTAACCTTTTAAAAGTATGGATTCATTGGCCAGAGAGATAGTACAGCAGGTAGGGCACTTGCCTTTCAATTGGAATCTGCTGACCCCAATTTGATCCCTGGGATCACCACATATAGTTCCTGAACCCCAAGAGGAGTAAGCCTTGAGCACTGTTGGATGAGGCCCCAAAACAAAAAACGTGTTGGTTTATTAAAAATTTACAACCATGAGATCCTAGAAATTTCTAGGTAATCTCTAATTATGGTCAAGTTTCTACCAAATTAATTTAAATTCATTTAGTTGTGCATACATATATATTCAGTATGTGTGCTGTTGTGCCAGGTAGAAAATCATGGCTATGCCCACTAGATTACTTGGATTCTGCAATGATGAAAATGTTCTGGACCTGCTGTGTTCAGTGTGGCAGTCACTAGTCCCAAGAGACTAAGGAACTAATACGTAATAAGACTAAGGAACCAAAATTTCCCTTTCCCAGTCAGTACTGAGGCCAGATAGATAGTACAGGGATTAAGATGCTTGATTTGAATGCAGCTGAGCCTGGTTTTATCCAGCACCACATATGGTTTCCCAAGCACCACCAAGAGTGATCCCTGAGCACAGAGCCATGAGTAAGCCTTGAATGCTGCTGCAAGTGTCACATACACAAAAAGAACAGTCAGTACATGGGCCTAAGTCACTGAAATAAAAAACAAGACTATAGAAAGGATAAGGTCATGACTGATGTAAAAGGGTGAACTTATACTTTAGGGCCATTCTTCCTGTAGTTACCCTTTTTTTTCACCACACGACAACCTAATTCTCCATCTTTGCAGGAAATCCTACCGAGGACTGTCATTATATTGATATATCAGTTATCAGTTGAGCAAAGAATTTTCCATCAACCTTTACAAAATGCAGTGAGCACTTTGTAAAGAACTTGCTGGTGCTGAGCTGCATGCTGTGGTGATCAAGCTCACCCACTACAGAGGCTGGGGTCATGTGGATAGAACTTTGTCTATGGAGTTAAGATTTTTCTCTTAATGACTGAGAATGGGCTGGAGCTATAGCACAGTGGTTAGGGCATTTGCCTTACATGCAGCCAACGTGGACGACCTGAGTTTGATTCCTCTGCCCCTCTCAGAGAGCCCGACAAGCTACCGAGAGTATCTCGCCCACACGGCAAAGCCTGGCAAGCTACCCATGCCGTATTTGATATGCCAAACACAGTAACAAGTCTCACAATGTTACTGGGCCCGCTCGAGCAAATCGATGAACAATGGGAGGACAGTGATACAGTGAATGACTGAGAATGCCTTTGTGAGCAGAATAAATTCCTTTCCATCAATCTGTATAAACTTTTTTCTTATCCCTGTAGTGTGCTAGGACATTTAATTATTAGGTACTACTACCAAAACTTAGCGGTAGGGCGTTTGCCTTGCACGCAGCCAACATGGCCAACTCGAGTTCGATTCCTCCGCCCCTCTCGGAGAGCCCAGCAAGCTACCGAGAGTATCTCGCCCGCACGGCAGAGCCTGGCAAGCTACCCGTGATGTATTCGTATGCCAAACACAGTAACAACAAAGTCTCCAATGGAGACTTTACTGGGCCCGCTCGAGCAAATCGATGAAACAACGGGAGGACAGTGACAGTGACTACCAAAAGCAAAGTCTAAGCCAATGAGATATCTCAATGGAAGGAGGGAGGCCGAGTTTGATCCCTGGCACCATATATGGTGCCCCAAGAACCACATATGATGCCCAAGCACCTCTCAGAGCACCACCATGTGCAGCCCAATAACAAATGAGCAAATAAAAAGGAAAATACACATTTTCCACTCTCAAGGAAAGGCGAGTCTGATTCAGTTCTTGTTGATAAAGGACTTTGAACTATACTTTAGAAAATTATAAATATGATAGATTCACCAAAGCATTTTCAATTTTCTTTTGTTACTGTATTAATGTGTTTATTCCATCAGCCGCGAGTGTTCACGTCTAGTATGAGACAGGCAACTGTAGCACTGTGCTCCCGTTGTTCATCTATTTTGCTCAAGCGGCCCCAGTAGCATCTCCATTTTGAGACTTGTTGTTACTGTGGTTGACATATAGAATACGTCATGGGTAGCTTGCCAGGCTTTGCCATGCGGGTGAGATACTTGGGTAACTTGCCGCTGCGGAGGAATCAAACCCGGTTCGGCTGTGTGCAAGGCAAACGCCCTACCCGCTGTGCTATAGCTCCAGCTCAGGCAATATACTAGACATTGGAAATTCATAGGTACATTCCTTAACCTAAAAATTGAGGATGATAATCATGTGAATGGATAATTGCATGACAATATATTGAATTCAATATTGTCATTATCTAGGTTACTATAGAAACATAGAAAGGCTGCCAAACTCATCACAGTCACAGTCCTCCCATTGTTCATCGAATACGTCACGGGTAGCTTGCCAGGCTCTGCCGTGCGGGCGAGATACTCTCGGTAGCTTGCCGGGCTCTCCGACAGGGGCGGAGGAATCGAACTCAGGTCGGCCATGTTGGCCACTTGTAAGGCGAACGCCCTACCACTGTGCTATCGCTCCAGCCCTTCCCGAACTCATATCCAATATAATTCCTGTTATAATGATAAGCGATTCAATAATAACCTTTTAGAGGATTCTATTAGGGAATGAAATCTGAAAAAGTCGACTCTTCATAATTGGGTCTTTGCTTTGTAGCAGACACTCAATACCATCAAACACCTATATATAATGAGTAAGAAAAAACTCAGAGAATATGAGTTAAGAAGAAAAGAGGTGATTTTGCACCCCCAACAGCCTTGCACAGTGACTAGCAAATATTAAAGATTTCTGTTTGTGTGCCTATTTTGTTGAAAAGTGCTGTATGGTTTGGATTATAAGGAAAAGGTAACGTTTCGTTTTTTTTCCCTCAAGGGTTACTACTGACTCAGAGTTTACCTTGTGCTCAAGAAATACTCCTTGCAGTGCTTGGGGGTCACATAGGAAGCTGGGGATGGAACCCCAGTTGGCCCCGTGCAAGGCAAACACCCTACCTGCTGTACAGTGTTCTGGCCTGCATTGTGTTCTTTGATGATAGTTAAACCTAGCCATTTTTATTGCTTACTCTCAGTCTTTTGATAAGTTATACCTTTGTGGATTTGTTAGTTTCCCCACCAACTTATTAGTTTTACATCCTAAGGCTAGCTACCCTTATCATTAGGGCTTTGCCTTCCCCACTTCCCTTGGAACTCATGACTGACACTCTTCTTTTATTTTCACTTGGAAAAAGGACGCTGTTACCAACAACTTGACTCATTTCAGCTTTTTCTCTTTTGGCCATTGATATATTTTATACTTTATCTTAAATCCATTTTTTAAAATTTGTATTAGTGAAACAACATGAGGTACAGTTGTAGACTTAACAAATTTTCGCTCTTGGGTTTCAATTATACAATGATCAAATACCCATCCCTCCACGAGTGCCAATTTCCCACCAACACGGATCCCAGTACCCCTCCACCCCCCACACCCCCCATCTCACCCTGCCTCTGTGGCAGAGAATTCGCTTTTGTTCTCTCTCTCCTATTGGGTGTTGTGGTTTGCAAAAGAGGCATTGAGTGGCAATCATGTTCGGTCTATTGTCTATTTCAGCATGCTTCTCCAATTCTGGGAGGTTCCTCCCAACACCCTTTATTTGGTGCTCCCTTCTCTATCTGAGCTGCCTTTTCCCCTAGCATGTGTGGCTTGCCTCCAAGCCATGGAGTAAACCTCCTGGTACTAATCTCGGCTATTCTTGGGTGTTAGTCTCCTATTTTGTTACTTTATGTTCCCCAGATGAATGCAATCTTTCTATGTCTATCCCTCTCTTTCTGACTCATTTCGCTTAGCATGATACTTTCCATGTTGTACCACTTGTATGTAAATTTCATGACTTCATCTTTTCTAACAGCTACATAGTACCCCATTGTGTAGATGTACCAAAGTTTCTTTAACCAGTCATCTGTTCTTGGGCATTCAGGTTCCTTCCAGTTTCTGGCTATTGTAAAGAGTGCTGCAATGAACAAACAAGTGCAGGTGTCACTTCGACTATATTTTTTGCCTCTCCGGGGTATATTCCCAAGAGTGGTATTGCTGGGTCAAATGGGAGCTCAATTTCTAATTTTTTGAGAATAGTCCATGCTGTTTTCCAAAAGGGCTGAACCAGTCGACATTCCCACGAGCAGTGAAGGAGGGTCCCTTTCTCGCCACATCCATGCCAGCACCGGTTGCTTTTGTTCTTTTGGATGTGGGCCAGTCTCTGTGGTGTGAGATGATATCTCATTGTGGTTTTGATCTGCATCTCCCTGATGATTAATGATGTAGAGCATTTTCTCATGTGCCTTTTTGCCATTCGGATTTCTTCTTTGAGAAAGATTCTGTTCATTTCGTTGCCCCATTTTTGATGGGGTTGGATGTTTTCTTCTTGTGGAGTTCAACCAGTTCTTTATATATCCTTGATATCAACCCCCTGTCGGATGTGTATTGGGCGAATATCCTATCCCATTCTGTAGACTGTCTTTGTATTTTGGTCACTGTTTCTTTGGAGGTGCAGAACCTTCTTAGTTTAAGATAGTCCCATTCATCTATCACTGTTTTCACTTGCTTGGCTAGTGGCATGACATCTTTGAAGATACCGTGAGCTTCAATGTCATGGAGGGTTTTGCCAACTTTGTCTTCAATGTACCTTATGGATTCTGGTCGGATGTTGAGGTCTTTAATCCAT